TCACGTGCAATAAAAGATTGATTTTAAGTATAAGCACCAAAGGACACATAACTTTATTATTTGATAACAAAATTTGTTTTTAAAGTATAATAACCTAAATACCGATAAACTTTTAACTTAATTGCCTTATACTTTTATTTAAGTGTACTTATGAAGATTAATAAAAAAATAAAAAAGGTTTAGTTTTTTATTTTTCATCAACGTATTTATTGTGTTTGAAGATTTTTTCTCTTTTTTTTTTTCAAATAGTTGCTTAGTTCTATTAATATCCTCTTTATTTTGGTCCTTACAATTTTATTTTATTTTAATTTTAGTCTTTAACACTTTTTCTTGTAGCTTTACCATAAAAGTGTAAGTTAATCTAACTATAATTGCAAAATTAAACAAAAACTTAAGAGATAAATTAAAAAATGGCAGAATACAAAACACTTTTTATTTAAACCTACTTTAAATTAAAAGTATTACCTTGATTCAATTTGTTTCCCTTTTCAAAGGAAACAATGAAAAAAATATTTTTTTCCCTGCTTTTTATACTAGTCTTTAAAAAGTGAAAGCACGTCAAAACAAATGACAGCTTTGTAATTAAAGTTAAAAAAAAAAAAAAACATATTTTGAAGATAACCAAATCCTAAACTTTCAAACGATGCAAATATACTTATTTATCCAGAAAAAAAAATCTCTAGTGGTGAGAAAAAAATTATAAAAAGGAACCTAATTTAACAAAATTGAAATAATACAGAGAAATAACAAGTATGGGTCTATCTTTTGTATTTGAAAAGTAATTTAGAAAAGAAAATATAGTCGTAATAAAATACGGGTCTTTTAAAAATATAGGAGTAAGTGTAAAATAAAATAAAGTAGTGAAGTTGTTATTTGGAACAAAATTTCTCTGGCTTATTCTTTTTGTTCAAGAGATGATACAGAAGATTACACGAATCTCATTATATATCTTTTTCTCTTTATTTTTTCACACGGTCAAACAAAAAATAGTATAAAAATTTATCGTTTTCACCAAACCTCCTCTTTTCTTCTATTTGATTTCAAATCTTAATAATTTGTTGGTGTCTTTAGAAATAGTAAAAAATTGATTGAAGAAAGAAATTCAAAGTATGCCCATTATAATGATTCTTTTATCTCTTTTTAACTACTCATTAATCCTAGTCAACAATTGGCTCTAAATTTAAAGACAGCAACATCACCATTCACCACAATGAACAAAATCTTAATGTTCTCAACCCAAACGTGGGTCTTTAAAATGATGTATTAAATTTTATTGACTTAGATGGTCAATGTGGATAAGATGGGACAAATACCATTAAACACAACAACAATGGCTTAAAACAAAGAATTTCCAGTGTCTTCTCTTTGTTGAAGCTTTGAGCTCAATTTATGAATTAGTATCAACGGTGTGACTAATGTTTCCATTTTGGGTGGAGGAATGAAGTATAAAAGTTTGACACAAAGTTTCTAACACCAAAAGATTCAAAATTGAAATTTTGAGAGACACGGAGAAGAAATTTAAAAACATGTACAATTTGTGGTCATGTCAAAGAAGGTGTGCACTCATAAAAACATATGTGAGCATTTGTTTGAACAGGGAACCAAGAGAAGCTTCCTCGGTCTCATTCAAGTAGAAACATAGGCATGCATTATGTAGGTATGAATGAACAAAGCAATGAAAAAAATCTTCTTGGTCAAAGGTGAAATATTAATCCACTCCCAGGTTTTATCCTAAAATATTGATTAACAACTCAAACAACATTAAACATATATTATATTAGGATTGTCAAATTATCATTATTTAATAATTAAACAGACACAATCCATGTATTACCGATTATTTGCCCAATAAATATGCTTGGATTAGAATTTTACATTTTATCAATATTAACCAGTTATGAAATTATGAATTCAAAATTTATAAATATATAATAAATTTATTAATATTATTATTATTATTTTAAATATTATCATGATCAATATAAATTACAATAAAAAATTATAAATATAAAACATATTAAAAAATGTAAAATGAATAATTATGAAAATAAAATACAAATATAATTATATAATTATATTTTTTTATTTAAATGTATATATATTATATGAAAAAAATTAATCTTAATTTGTTTTATGAAATTCAATTCAAACTAAAATTCATAATTTAATTAAAATTTAATTATTTAAAAATAATAAATTAATTTTTAGATTGATTATCGATTAAGATTTTCAAATCATTATATTTTATACAATTTCATAGTTCTTTAATCTTCCGTTTCTACCCTCTTCTTTTCTGTTTTTAGTATACCTTTTTTTGTTTTTAACTTCAGAAATTTTAGTACACAAACATTGTTATTTTATTCATAAAACCTGTACTCTTATACAAATAAGTTTCTTTCTTAAAATCTAAATCATAATGGGTAAAACTACTGCATCACATTTGAAACCCGGCATAACTTACTCTAATTAATTTTCCAATAAATGCACCGCAATTACTTTTGACCCTCCATAACCTCAAAAGTCACTTTATATGCTTGTTTTGTGGGTGCATCATTAAATTTTTCAAAAACAAAATATATACATTGTTCAAATCCTTGTACCCAGCACATATAAAACTAAGATAACATATGCTGCCATAATTAAACAAGAAATCCTCCTTGTCACTGTCCAAATTTTCCCTCATGCCTCAAGTGTTCGTTCACCTCCATAATTACGAAAAAGAAAAGTTCACCACAGGTATCAACTATATTATATTCAAATGGCTGACCAAGTTAAACAAGCATTTTTCTCAGAATTAAAAGAAAAAGGTTGAACGCAACACACTATAATGCTATTTGGTTCCTCTTGAACCATCTTTGATAAAATAGGTGGTGAGTGAGTAGGCAAAAACATCTACCTTACATGCACGTCATTGCAGGTTACATCATTAAACAGACTTAATCAGTTATTTAACATTATTAGATGCTAAAATAATCTCTCAAGACAACTGTCATAAAATACAAGCCAGTAGACAAAGTTGAAAGGACTCAGAAATTTTGATAATAAAGGCTAAGCTTAAATAAAATGTTTATTCTCTTGAAAATTTCAATTTTTATCGGGACAGAAAAAGAATATATTTATTTAGTTCTTGTTACCATGCTATGTGACTTCGTATCTGATAGACAGAGGAAAACAATTCATTTACCTAACATAAATAGAGACTTATATAAAGGGTTTACAATTTCTATATGAAATTTAAATAGTACCATTACAGGAAGGGAAAAGAAAAAAATATGAGAATACTAGAACAAAATCAGCCTTATATCGTAATAATAGGAGTTGAAACTTATTTGAGTCTAAAGATGAAGTATATGTAATGTATTAAGCTTAAGGTGATAAGTATATATTTTAAAGTACAAAAATCACGTTAAGACGTTATAAAATAAAACCAAATCTTAATATTAATAGGCAAACAAAGTTGAATTGCTTGACCAGGAAAAGAAATAGGCAGAATTATGAACAAAAATCGATAGAAGGGCGAATAAAAAACACGGGGAATATTTCAGGTATTCAACTAAACTAATGATAAAATGCATTGAAGCAACAATGTCATGCTAAAGTTTCCCGATTCCATCAATTTCCAAAACAAAGGAACAGTGGTTTCGAGTTCTTTAAACTATGTTGAATTAAGTTTCAGCTCTTTTATTTGATCAAGATTCTTGATAAATCAATCAATTAAGACTCTACAATGGCTTAAATGAAATGAAGAGGAACTTCCGTAGAAATAAAAAAGAACTAGTGTAGAGCCCCATCTGTTTACTACTCTCAATCTAATGACTAACAAAAGATATTGCAGACAGATTAATTCTGCTCCCATCCACCCTTCTCATGTGCATATCAAAGCTTAATCACTAACGTTAAAAATGATAAAAAAAAAAGAAAAAAAAAAAAGGGTGCTGCCTACATAAGCCTTTTTCTTCTATTATTTGCCGATAGCTAGGTTTGTCCAAATTTATGCAAAGAAGCAATGATACAGTAAAGACCAAAAGAAAAAAAAAATCAGCATTGCATACAAACATCACATGTGTGGGTTTCCAAATACATGCACCTGGACAACCTTTTCCGGCACGTCCTGATGAAGTGCAATAATGCGGACTAAGTATAAGCTTAACAAAAACAGGTCGTAGAAGAAGAGAAGCTTACATACCACCCTTGCTCTCCTCCCTATGGTCATTCAAGGTGGCAAACATACAAATATTAAGAGAAACAGTTCTCACCCAAAAAACCCAACCCCACATGGGAGGTAAAGGTAATAAATATATAAAGAGAACAAAAGGTAATTTTGATTTCGGACATTTACTCACTAAGTACAGTAAATCGTAAATCAATTCAATCAAAGATACAAGGATACAAGGATACTTGGTGGTTTCAGTGTTTCACCAGCCTTTCCTCTAAAAACCTAAACCTTTGCCAGTTACCATAATCACTTTCCAGAATGGGGAAAATGATAGAAAGAAAAAAGTAATAGCCCTTTCCTCCTAGTGCAAGGTGCCCGAGTACAAGCAAGACAGAAAGGACAGTATATCAAGTACGATAACGATTATACCTTGGTTCCCGTACATATTAACACGTATTTTTTCTTACACATCTCTCAAAAATTCAATCACCATCGGTCATTAACCAGAGTACACGATGCAGACGTGCAGTACAACAACTCTTCCCCAACCCCAACCGAACCAAGCGAAGCAAGAAGTACAACAACAAAACTTGTCTATCATTCATTGAATAGATTTCCAAAGAAACACTTCCAGAACAAAATTAAGTATGTAGATTGAACAAAAGAGACAACAAAGACAAAGGAACAAGTTTAGGAAAGAAAGCAAAAGAACAAGAAACAGATCGATTAATAAAACGTTCTAAGTTGTAACCTAACCTGGCTTAAACAAAGAAAGCATCATATCACACTGCGCATATATATCAGTCAGCAAGATGGGCGGTGGAAAGTAAACAAGGGTTTCATTTCAATAATTAGAAGGTGGAGCAGGGCGAGGACCCCAGAACACATCACCATTGTTAGGCACCAAATTATACACCGGCATTGCAACTTGTGCTTGTTGATCGCCCTGAGAAGGTGGTGGTGTTCCAACACCACCACCTTCATTCACCTCTTGCATGTCCTCTTCTCCTTGTTCGTCTTCCAAGGGCAACCTCTCATAGGTAGCATTAGCGAAGGTGGCAGCCACCACCATCACGGGTCCCGAAGCGACCAGAGGCCCCACCACGCTGCCGCCGACTACCTGCCCCTGCCCGCCAGCGAGGTACACCGTGAGTCCGGTGGCCTCCGGTGGCGACGGCGCCGGCAGAAACGCTCCGGAGAGGGAGAGAATTTCGAACCTCCCCTGCAGCGTGATGACGCCACCGGGCGCGGCGGGCTGTCGCAGCGTGACGTTGGTGACAACGCCGCTGCCGCTGAGCACGGACACGCCTCGGTGGCGGCGCGTGGCGAAGGTGGCAATGCACTCCGCCACGTCGCTGCCGCCGCTGATTTCGAGGATGTGGCTGCGCAGCGCGTTGGGGCTCTCCTTCGTTATCACCACCGGCGGCTTCGGCTTGTTCTTCGACCCCGGCGGCCTTCCCCTCGGCCGCCGCCCGCTTCCGAGGTTCTGATCGTCCCCTTCGTTGATGTTGGCGGTGTTCTCGTCGTCGTCGCCAGCGTTGACGTTGGTGTTACTGTTGCCACTGTTTGTCGGAGTAGCGTTGTCGCCGTTGTCTTGCTCTATCGGCTGAAGCGACGAATTGGGCTCATTTGGCCTCACCGCCACGTTCCCAGCCCACCATCGGTTGGCCATCTAGAACCTTCCTTCTGACTATCACCAAAATCTGAGACACTCTATTCAGATCTATTTGACCTCAAACACCAAAGATTGAGTTTTGGTTTTGTTTTAAAGTGGGGAAGTATATATGAGTTCCAACTCACAACCACGTAATATGACAGAAGAGAAGGTTCCCTAGGAAGCGTTTAGAATGATGCAATCTGAGTTGTGTTGGTGATAGGTAGCTAGCTAGCTAGGTGTTTGAGTAAATGCTTTGAGTTGGTTCAAAGTTCAAAGTTCAAAGTTCAAAGTTGAAAGGGAAACGGATGATAGATATTAAGTAGAAGGGGTGAGATTTGAAGCGTTTTCTGAAGACTTTCCTTGAATTGGTTCGCGGTTTTCTGCAAAAGTTTCCTTTTCTGTCTCCCGGGGAAGCGGTTCAAAGTTTTCTACTTCCCGAGCCAAAGTATTATGCTACCTGCTCTGCTAAGCTAACTACACAAGGATGGTTCCAAACCAAAAGGATTAGACCAAGTTGTGCAAAGATATTATCACATCCACGATGGGTTACACTCGGAGACAATACCACACCAATTTTATGTTTGCTAGGTGACACTATTTGTTCCCCCTATCCTATGAAATCTTTGCTGGGAGACTCCCAAGTGAAACCATATCTTATTTATTCAGATAAAAACTAAATAATTCATTATACTTCTATTCTTTTTATTATCGTCGTTAATAAATTTACTCTTCCATTTTTTTTATATTATTATTTTAATATCTCTTTTAACTTTATTATTAATGTTTAATTAAAGTATTGACTTCGCACTCCATTCCATGATTGCATCATTGTGTTGGCTCATTCATGCTAACATAATACTCTATATTAACTTTTTTTAATAATAAATTACAATTTTTTTCCGAATTGATTATTTGGTTATTTTATTTCTCTTCATAAATATATTTTACAGTAAAACAAAAAGGAAATACTTTTTTTCTTACCTTTTTTTTTATTGAGGAGAGTTTTTTTATAAATTCTAAACAAAAGAAAAACTTCACCTAATATTTTTCTCAAATAAATAATGAAGCAATATCTTAAAGTTACCCTCTTTTTCTATTTCATTTCCATTAAACCACTCCCACCACAAGTTGACAATGAAAGTCGTGTTATACCTCGCGTAGTTGCAGGGTTTTAGTTCAGAAAAAGTTAAACATCTGAAAATAGTGAAAAAAAGAAAAAAACGGAAAGAGAAGAGAGCGGTGGTAAAAAGAAAGATAAATTTTTATTAAAAAAATAATATATAAATTAATAAAATATTATTTTAATGTAAAATTTTATAAATATTATTTTTATTAAAACATTAATTTTAGTTGTTATATTTATGATACTTACACTAAAATATTTTTATTAATAAATATCTTTAAGAAACCTTAAAATAATTTAATAAATTATAATGAACTATCCATTCAGTTTAGTTTATTAGACAACAAATAAATATTTAAAATTAAATTTCATTATTAACTATAATGGTTCGATTGATAACCTCATGTGTAAATCCGATAATCAATAGAACAATAAGAAGAAAAAAAAATGTAAATTAACTTTTAATTTATTTTTTCCATTTCGTACTGTTCATATATGATGAGAACCGAGCCAAATGGCCCGAGCACCTCGTGGGGTGTGGGGTTGACCATAAACACTGCAAACTGTGAAGAGATTGCGTGTTGTGATTCGAAAATAAAAGTACAATTGATTTATTTTTTTTAATAGGTAGAATTAATATTTTCATTAACCAAATATATATTTTTAAAAATAAACAATGACCCATGTCTCTACTAAAAACCGGTTTATTTATATGATTTTATTTACATTTAGCAAATTGTCTTGTATTTTTATTAAAAATCATGTCAGTGTTTTAAAAATTATAATAATATCATTTTAATTCATGAGACTTTTTAGTTTTTATGGTTTCAATATTTTTCAGTATATAGAAAATGAGAAGAAAATATTTTTGCTTTGAAAAAAGTTTAATTTTTATATATTTTTTCCTTTTTGTACTGAAAATCACTATTTTTATAGCTAATATTATATTACATACTCAACTGTGAACTAGTAAATAAAATAATAATCATGTGGTCAAATAATATACAATTGGTCAACACGTTGAATAATTTTAAATACTGTGACTCTTATTTTAATTAGTGTGACAGTCCCATTAAAGCAAATAAACTAAATTCTAAAAATGTAATTATTTATATATTATAATACTTAGATGATTTAGATTTTGTAATAATATCATGTGTTCTCGTGGTTTTCCGTCATCATGACAATTATATGTAGGGTAAGATAGTCTTACAGTATAATTTATATATAACAATATATTTCACAAAATAAGTCATCGTCACAACTATCGTTATATAAGTGTCAATTAAAGTTGAGCATAATTTGTCTATGATCTACTCTTAGAAAATTTGGCATGTGAAGACTTTTAGAAAATTATATAATAAATTTCAAATTCAGAGGCATATACATCTCTCATTAATAAATGATACATTTTTAACACTTGAAAGTGTTACAAGCTTATACACAGCTCAAAATAATGAAAGAATAAATAAATTACATTGATTGTGAACACCTAGTTCCTTTACATACTTCAATTATAACTAGAATTTGATATCTTGTTTAATTCACCAAATCAATGGACACTGCTTATTTTTGCGTTAAAATCACGTCATAAACCGTATCCCATCGTATTTAAGTTGTAGATATATCTAATAATAAGTATTAAATAAAGGTGTTACGTACGAAATTTATAAGAAGGAAAGGGACAGTAATAAGTCTCACACAATCATATCTTATTCCAGATTTCACATTATTCATTCGTCCGTTCATTCACAGTACGTTTGAACTTCTCTTTCATAATAAAAATGTTCTTTGCTATCAGAAGGGGGAGATGGATTTTGTGAATTTCACGTGCTTGTTCAAAGAGGAATGGAGAGAAAGAAGTGTCAAAAATTTGGGTCCATCTAAATAAATTTCAATCCACGTTATTCTGTAAGTCTTATCTGACATAAATTTCTGATACCTACCAACCATAAATCAACCGTTCTCTTTTTCTTCATTTTCACTCCCTTCCTCCTCATCTATTTGATCTCATCGTAACAAAAAATACATGCTAAATAAAAACACGTATGTTTTTAATACATGTATAGTTTCTATAGATTTCGGAAAAAAAAAATATATATATATATATATATATATATATATTTTTTTTTAAGTGTGATATAACATAAATACCTTAAACTCAAACCTCCATCAATGTTACTTATCAGTTGGGAACACTAGACGATTTGGTTCCACTTGATGAATAAATAAATGTCTTTGCATGTCACGTTACATGGATTGTCACAGAATGGTCAATTATTGCATCAGAATGATGTTACATCACAAAATGTCATTTATGCTAGTTCGCTTTGATTAATAATGTGAACAATGTCCTTTACCCTCTCTTGTTACAATCAATCAATGTGCTGTGCCCAAAGACAAATAGTATTAATGCTCACATGGTTTGGTGAAATAAATTTAATGTTTTCTTTACATTCAATAATCAAAACTCAGAAAAATATAAAAATTGAAATTCTCTATATTAATTTAAAAGTACGATTAAAATATATTTTATTAATAATAAAAATAAAAGATAAAATTTATTATACTATGATTAATATTGTTTTCCAATTATTATTTTTAATGTCTTATATTTTGTTAAATACGTTGTAAATTTTTAAGACAAAAAATTATAAATAAATTAAAATAGCTCAATAAATAGTACGTGAACTTGTTAAAAGTAAATTTTCTAAAAAAAAAAACTGTAAATAACAAGCACCAACTAAGACAGTAAAAAACTGATAATTGGTTTTTTAAAAATAGAAAATTTTCTGCACTCTCTTTCTACTTTCTCTCAAACTAAAAGAAAAAAAAAAACATCATTTATCAATATATTTTGCTTGGTCTCTTCCTTCTTCCTCATTTCTCTTACCCAAAAAAGCAACGTCATAATGGCTGGAACAACGACATTGGATTTAGTAGAACTGTAGGGAATGATAGGATCGTGGATGAAATTAGCGTCTTAATCGAAAGTTTCTAGGTGTGTTTGGATAAAGATCGAAATTGATTTAAAAGATTTATTCTATTAAAAAGTTATATATATTTTTAATATAAATTAAAAAGTATTTTAAAATATTATATATAATTTTTCTTGATTTTTAGAGACGAGGAAACATCCAAACACACGCAATGAGACAATGCCTTGTGCAACTCGTGGTCCGCGGAACCATTCTGGATTTTTGTAATGCTTATTTATTTTTCGTTTTGTTAATTTTCATCCAAAATTTTTTACAAGTTTCTCGTATATACCAACACTTTTTTCATGCACCATGTTTTTATACCAACACTTTTCTTGACGAGTAAAATATTGATTTATTTTGGAGGTTCCACTAAGATTATTTTTCATTAAAAAAATTTCAGCTTAGCGTTAGATTTCAAACAATTTTTCTTCTTGTATTTCTTTTGACCATATCAGTTTCAATCACAGGAAATTTATGAAGTTTCCTTGTCGAAGATTGTTTCATTTTTTATTCAAAGTTTACAAATTATTTCTCTAAAAAGTAGCATTGTTCGTTCTTCATGCGTGCTCTTCATATATAAATCAAGAATAAAAACAAAAAAACTACTTTCCTTTAATGGTAAAAATATTTACTAAGGAATTATATTTTCAACATCTTTACAATATACCTCTATATAAATTATATAAAAAAAATTATATACCATGTAAAATCAGTTTAGTGAAAATGTAGCGAAAAAGCACTTGACAGTGTGAATGTTTGATTTTTATTGGAATATGATGAAAATAACAATTGGAACAGTACAGTCAACTAAATTTTAAACACTGTTTACTTTTAATTTTAATGGATAAAAAAATGTAAGTAAATGGCATGTGTTTCTTATGGGAACGACATTAAATCTTGTCAGGATATCT